CGTGGAGAACTGAAAGTGCTGCAGATGATACTGACGTTTAAACTGACTCAATATAATACATCCAATGGCAAAATGTATGTTTAATAATGTGCATGGTCCCTTAGAGAAACAAGATGATAAACGAGACAAAACAATGAAAATGATGAATAAATAATAAAATGAACTGAACCGTTTAGAGAAAACAATGAAACAAAGTTCAGCCATTTTGAATGCCATCCCATAATGTGGGGTGATAACACAGTAGGTGCATATGTTCAGTGGTTTGAACCGAACCGTGGTAGACTCCATGTTTATTATTGTATGATGATGAAGTACACGATAACAACCTACTGTGAGGTGAAGTACAGCCCTACTAAGCCCAGTCTATGGTCTTGATGACAAACTGATAACCACCATTTAATGACGTGATAATAAAATGAACTGAACTGTTTAGAGAAAACAATGAAACAAAGTTCAGCAGAGGAATACACTTGGTATGCCAGCTGTGGACACCGTCAGAGCTACCTTGTATCGGCAAGTTGTCTGTGTGAGCTTTGTGGAGTGCCTGCCTCAAATTCCCATAAATGGACAAATCAAGTAAATACCAAGTGCAAAATCAACCTTAGCAGATAAGTGAAGCGGCTCCGTGTTATCTGAATGATTCAGAATCATTACATAGGGTTTCATAAAGACACCATAGCTGACTGTCAGCAGCAGGTGACCAGCTGTGTCCTGCTGCAAGATGCCAAAGTGCCCATGTTAGTGCTTGTCCAGTGCTGTTTCTTCTGTGGTGTGGCATTAATCACCCTCCATACTCTCTCCCTCACAGTTCAACCCTTCAGGGAGGACCAGCAAAGGAATCCTTCACACATCCTACTCCCACTGGCTTTATCAGTTTCCATATGGAGACATTTCACTGGGAAATCTCTCATAAGTGCAGCTTCCACCAACATTATGACAGAGGGTTCCCGTAAATAATGGTTAGAATTTGTGTATGCTGCAGGTGGAAACAGCCTCATCAACAGGAAGAGTGACGTCACCTGTGCAGCATCATTAGGGCAACAACAGACACTTAGTGGCTGTTCCATTGTCTCCACTGACTGCGGGCACACGCCACGTCTCATTTGCCTTCAGACGCCACCTAGGCCAGTCATCCAGTCTGATCCAAACTTCAGGGACCTGGCTCCCTGAGTGGGTGGGAGGACAGGGGTTATTTCACTCCTCAGTTCTAACTGGGCCTGTACATCAAACCAG